CCACGTGCTGGTGACCGAGCTGGTGTTCACCGACCTGCTGGGCACCTGCCTCATCAGCCCCGTGGTGCTGGCTTCGTACGCGCGCAACCAGACCCTGGTGGCCCTGGCGCCCGAGAGCCGCGCGTGCACCTACTTCGCCTTCTCCATGACCTTCTTCAGCCTGGCCACGATGCTCATGCTCTTCGCCATGGCGCTGGAGCGCTCGCTGGCCATCGGGCACCCCTACTTCTACCAGCGCCACGTCAAGCGCCGCCGCGGCCTGGCCGTGCTGCCCGCCATCTACGCCGTCTCGCTGCTGTTGTGCGCGCCGCCGCTGCTGCGCCCCGGGCAGTACGTGCAGTTCTGCCCCGGGACGTGGTGCTTCGTGCGGCACGGCGGCTCCGCGTACCTGCGGCTCTACGCCACGCTGCTGCTGCTGCTCATCGCCGCCGTGCTCGCCTGCAACCTCAGCGTCATCCTCAACCTCGTCCGCATGCACCGCCGGGGCCGGCGCGGCCGGGGCCGCCCCTCCACCGGCCGGCGCGGGGAGAGGGTGTCGGTGGCCGAGGAGACCGACCACCTCATTCTGCTGGCGATTATGACCATCACCTTCGCCGTCTGCTCCCTGCCGTTCACCGTAAGTCACTCTCTTCGCGTCCACAGCCCCGGCCCGCGCGGGCTGCTCGCACCCTCCCCTCCCACGCCCACCCTGCCCACTGCCACACGGACTTTCGCAACTTGTAAAAGTATGTCCCGATTTGTAGAGGTCTGTGGACGTCCCCTGTCGCTTCTCACCTTTGCCCCATTTCCTTCCCCCCCTCCTGGCTCCAGGCCCGGGCGCGTGTTTCGCATGATACAGCCCCACCGACCGGGAGCCTTGGCTGAGGCTCCCTGAGCCGGCCCAGCCCCATCCTAGAGCCAAAGGCCCCTCCACTGCGAGCTTGGCTCGGCACCTGAGGGGCAGGCACCATCTGCCTTCCCTGAGCTGCAGTTTGGCTCCTGGTACCTCCTGCCCACACACTCACGCTAGTTCTCCACACTCTGCCCGTTGTTTCTCCCAGGGCAAAACGTGGCACCCAACCCACAGCATCCCAGCCGCCGCTGAGAATGATCCCGGGTGAGAAGGGCCCCTGTTGGAAAACTTCAGAGCATTTCATTATTTGTCCTAAAAGTTCAACAAGCACCTAGTTTACAGGTTTCCCAATTTACCTATTGGTAGCATAACCCTTTTTGGCCATGAAAATTCAAAATACGTCCATAATGATAATGAGAGGAAAAGCTGATTGCTTGGAGGAACCCCTCGCTAAGCTTAGATCCCTCTAGAGGAGGCATTTGTACTCTTACAAAATATCTTCCTGATGTCACTGTCAGGAATACATCCAGGTGCTCTTCGGCCTATAATAGTGCACTTTATGAGCACAAGGCCACAACAGGAAGGGCTGGTGCATCTCAGGGATGGGAGAGGTAGGCATGTCCTGCACTTGCCGGGACCCAGCAGATCAGAGCCCGTCTGGAGAACTGAAAGACAGGAGCCTAAGTGCTGGGATGGGCGCTGGCCTGGTTTGGGGCAACCTCAGCAGGTAGTTCTGTGAAGCTGTGAGCCTCCTAAGGGGTACCGAGCCCGGAATGTGTCCGAGCACAGCTGGCCTCTTACAGAGGAATGGAAACTGGGAGCTCAGGCAGCTCCACTCCCTAATCTTTAGAAGAATGAGGCTGACCCTGCGGGCAGGAAGCAGTTGTCAGTGGCTCCCACCTGCACAGTGTGGGAGAAAGAGACCGACAGTGCCTGCCATTAGCTTGTCTGACCTGGAGAAGCTGAAGAAGTAACTTTATCCCACTTCCCACCATCATCACCGTTTTTAATTATCTACATACGCTTATCCTCAGGGGTGGAAAAGGACACAGGGCTCTAAAAGCCCGGATGTGACCCTCCGATGCCCCAGATTAACTCCCTTGCTTAGCTATAGTCTCTTCTCCTTGGTCCCCACTGTGGCCACCACTTCTGCCCCATCCTCCGTTAGGGCAGCAGCTGGTCGGAACAGTAAGTTACACCTTGAGGGGCATGAGACGGAGCGTGTGAAAGGCGCCGTGCTATCAAACGAAGGACTCTGGGAGCCTGCAGCTCCCACGCCCGACAGCCGGCAGGTTCGCGCCACAGAAATGCTATGATGTAGAAACCAACGTGGCTTCTCTGGGTTTGGTTTGTTTTACTGATAGAACCTATAGATTATGTTAGGAGCTAAATCAACTTTGGGGATTGGGACAAGGAGGCAGAATAAGTGGCTATGAAAGAAAGCATCTCAGGTTCCACGAAACAACTTAGAATTCACCTTGGGAGACATTAATCATCTCTGAATTGGGGACTGCCTGTCCCGGACAGGTGGGCCTTAGGATGTCAATTCTTGGAATTTTATTTATTCTTTGTGAGTGTGCATATAAAAATATCCCTGACCCCCAGCTACTTAAATAGCCTGGGAATGGACTTAGAGGTGACTTGTAAAAAATAACTTGTAAAAAGTATGATTTCCTTTCCGAAGCCCTTTAGAGGAGGAGAACAGGAGGGAAAAGGTCTCCCCTTCAAGCATGACTGATCTACTGCATAACCTGTATTTTTCAAAATAAAGGCAGGGAATTTCAATAGGTTCCTCTGTTTTTAAATCTGCCTTTTATCATGAGGACTCCATCATTACCATATACTAATTTTCAAATATATATTTGAATATATATGAATATATCTACTCTCCACCCCACCCCTTTACTTAATATTAAGCCAGGGGCAGATCCAGAGTTGCTACATGGAAGGAGCTTAGAGCTAGAAGTCTGGTTAGAAGGAGCGGGGCAGTAGGAGGTTTGTTTTGAAGCTGTGTTTTTATTTAGATTACCTGCTTATGGCATGGGAGGGTCTAGATGAAGATTATTTTGTCAATAGATTCTTGGCATTTGTTAGTGTCTTCATTTACACAGCACTTTAAACCCTATAAAATGTTACACTATCCCAATTTATTTCTTGGAGGGCTTATCTGATAATTCACAACTCATGGCTGCTGTTTGGTGCATACATTCTGCTCTTTCAAAATGCTCATCATGGGGGGCACTTTCCCCCGTGTCCTTTTAGTTTGTTGGCCCACAATAAAACTGTGGTCAGAAATGGCCTACACCAGTCTCCCACCTGAGGCAGGAATCATTTCCGCACATCCTGACTGGGGACACTGTTAGACAAGGCAGAGGCTTGTGGTTGCCTTTGGACACTCTCGTGTTCCTCTCCCCAAGCACATGTAGTCCAATAGAAACAGTATAAGCCACGTGTAGAATTTAAAATTTTCTAGTAGCCACACAACAAAAAATAAAAAGAAACATATTAATTTTAATCAATATATTTTATTTAACTCAATTTATTCAAAATATCAATTTAAAATGTAATCAAGGTAAAATAATTATTAATGAGCTATTCCAACTAATTTTCTCCCTTGCGTCCCAGAAAACACTGGCAATTTACCCAATCTCTGCCTGTTCCTGCCAGAGCTGCTTTCTTGTCCCTTAGAAGTAGCCCAGCAAGGCAAGTTCACAGCTGTGCCCACTGCGACACCTGCTTGTTCCAGCACTTCAGGAGTGGGGGGAGGAGGAGAGTGGGGTTTTAGGAAGCAGTCATTCTGACCTGCCCACACTTTGGGACAATGACATTGGTAGTTCCAGTTTTCCTAAATCCTACAAGAACCCCAGTCTAGGACTTCCGAAGTTTGGGAAGTGAAACTATCAAAATGTAAAATACCCAGAGCCCTGTAATGAAGTCAATTTCAGCATCAAATATCATTATCATCATCAACGTCAAAATGGCTAACATTTTGAGCACTAATTTTTACAACACTAACCCATTATCTTCACAATAACCTGTAAAATAGATAGTATTATTATTCCCATTTTACAGATGAGGCAAATCACTTACCCTGGGTCTCACAGCTGGTGAGTGTTGGAGCCAGGCAGTTTAGGCCTAGCCTGTTTGGCTCCGTGGTTAGAGCGTCAGCCCGCGGAGTGAAGGGTCCCGGGTTCGATTCTGGCCAAGGTCGTGTACCTTGGTTGCAGGCTTGATCCTCAGTCCCGGTCAGGGAGCATGTGGGAAGCAGCCAATCCATGTGAGAAAAAAAGCCAGGCAGTTTAAGCACAGAGTTTATGCTCTTAACCACAATACTATGAGAGGGAAACTGCTCATTTCAGGGATAACATGAGAAAATTAATCCAAGATTTCCAAGAGAATTGTGACCCAGTTATAAATACTTGGACCACTTTGCCTCTTAATTCCAACTTATTAGCTTTAAAAATATAATGGCACCCTGGCTGGTGTTGCTCAGTGGTTAGAGTCGGCCTCCGCACCAAAGGGTCTCAGGTTTGATTCACGGTCAAGAGCTCGTTCCTGGGTTGCAGGTTCGATCCCCAGCCCTGGTCAGGGCACGTGCAGGAGGCCACCAATCGATGTGTCTCCCTCACATCTATGTTTCTCTCTCTCTCTTTCTCCCTCCCTCCCTCTCACTCTCTCTAAAAATTAATGGAAAAAATATCCTCAGGTGAAGATTAACCAAAAAATGTAAATAATAATAAAATGGCAGAGACCTGTGTCAGATCAAGGGGCCTGAGCTGGGGCCAAGTGTGTGTGGTTCCTTTTTTCTTCTCCACAGACCTGTGAATTGAAGGCTGAGATTGAGATTTAAGGAGATTGGCTAATGTAAAAGCTACTCTAAATTAAGAAATATTCAGATTACCCCCCCATGTAAAATCTTCCGTTGGTACCACAAAACATTTCTTAACTGATTTTTAAAAAAAAAAGAAGAAAAAAAAAGACCATGTGTTGTTTAGGAAATGACATTATTTTGGCTGTTCAGTACGAAATCATTCATGGAACCAACAACATATTCCAAACTGTTTATGCACTAAAGGGATATTGTATAAATTAATAAATTCCTCCTTATGTTAATCAGCTGTTGTCATCATTTCACAGAGATAAATAGAAACTTTCTTCATGAAATGGAACAGAGTGCAGGAAATATATCAGACTCCATTCTTGCCTCAGATACTGTTTGTGTCTTCATTTCCAACCACAGCGAGCCACTTTCTCATCACTTTACTAATAACTGTGGGTAGCTCCTAGTCATTTCAAACTGGTTTCCACATGCCATCCGAAAAAAGCGCTTATGCATTTTATTCAGCTCTAAAATTTCAAGAGTGAAATTTTTAGAAATTCTTTAAGGCTGTAATTTCTAGGTAAACCCGATTAGTGGAAATCTGATCTTTGCTATAGAGAACAAACTCAAGTAAACAGTACTGGAGTTTCCTGTTCATTCCTAGTACTCTTTATGACATGAACAGGGGTGATAAAACTGATACAAAAGCGGTATCAATTACATACATGGAAAATACCACAATTCTAGTAGGGGTGAAAGAGCAATCCAGAAATCTCTATGTGTAACCACCATGAACTTTGCTTGGTGATATTTTAAGTTAATATCTATGTAAGTTAATATTCATGCATCATTAATGATGTGCTTGGGGATTGTTGAAATAGTCTTAATACACATTACTCGTTAAGAGAAAAAAGTTTCCCTATATGACTGTTTTCACTTGGCATCTTTTCCTTTGCACTTTGATATTATGAAATGGTGATTGTGAGTAAAGACACAATTACCCTGTTTTTTACATTTGGACAGCAAGAACCAATGAGTTGATCATCACTGCTGTTTCAGGTGATTAAGACCTCAGCTTAAAGAAAAACAGCTTTTAGGGATGGTATATTTCTTTTTTGGCATTTCAAGAACCCATCACAGTATTAATTTAAAAAAAAAGAGAGAGAGATGGTGCGTGACTGATCTCTGGAAACAGTGCTTCAGGAAGGCAATGTACAAGTCTCTCTCCACCTGCAGGCTTCAGGCCCAGTTAACCTGCAGCCTGGCCTGCTTGGTTTCCGTGGCTTCCCCTGTCTGCCGTTTTGAAGTTTCTGATCACCCCTCCTCATTCTTTTCTCAAGCTCACCTCCCTTGTGCCTCAAATTATATCAAGGTGTACCAAGCTCCATTTTTCTCAAGCTGCTCTGCTATCTAAAATTGCCTCCCCCTCACAGAAAACTAGACTAAGACTTCTGAAGCTGGGACAGATGTGTGATGGGAGAGTGCATTAGGGGAAGGCTAACTCTCCTGTAACCTGCACTCCATGGACAGTGCAGTAGGTCACATTTGCAAAACCTTGTATTTATCAGAGACCTGGGTAGATGGTTCATAGTGTTCAACATTTTCTCAAAGGGGTTAGAGTCACCACCCTGGAATATTCAGGCTCAGAGCTCTAAACCTTAGCACTGACTCTCCTTTGTGTCTGGCTCTGGGATCACCTGGAGCACAAGGCAGGGGACACTCTTTAGTGCGGGAGCCACATTCAGGCCCCAGTCTTTCTTTCTGAAGGGAAACTGGCTCCTGTTCCCTCTACCACAAGGCACCTATGATTTGGGGGAAGGAGTTGCTTTAAAATATCAAATACCTGGAAAATAATCTCCACGTGATTTTTTTTTTTTAAGAATGAATTATGCAAAGCCTATAGCCAGGACACTCACGAATGTTTTTCACAAGGAAATAAACATACAACAATCTCTGCCTGTCATTTAGCTGTGGAAAGTGGGGAAAGAGAAGCATCCAAAGAAGCCAGGTAGCTACTCAGACATAGCCATGGTTTTTACCAGGGACAGTGACACCCATAAACCTCTGTGCCAACTTCGAAAAGATGTCTCCTACAAACTCATAATTGAGTCATTCACTGGTGCATTTTACATGAGACTTCACATCACAGGCCGGCAATAGAGTAGTGACTAAAAGAAAAACTGGGGTTCCCCTGCTTGAGCATGACTCCATGACTTCCTTACTTACTTGGAGTGTGATTTGGGACAAGGTAACTAATCTTCTAGGCCTCAGTTTCCTCCTTACTAAAATGGAAATAATATTTTGCAGGTTCATGTAAGGATTAAATAGAATAATACATAATTTGCTTTGCACCATGCCTGGCACACACAGATATTCAGTAAATATTAGCTGCTATCTCCATAGGATTCAATTTCTAAGGGAAAACCGGGATTGTATGTTAATGATTAGGAATTCTGGAAGCTCAGTCATTTGTTTGAGTTTATTTCAGGTATTAGGTAAGATTCCAAAGCAGGCCACTCAACCTTGGCTGCACATTAGAATCTCGTCGGGGTGGGGCGGGGGGGGGGAGGATTAAAAATCATGATAGATACCCACGTTTAAATACCAGATTTAATTAATCAGAATCCCTGAGAGAATATTTTTAATGCCCCTTGGACAATTTCAATGAGCAGCCAGATAAAGTTCTCATTTGCTGTAAAATTCTGAACCCACTATGTGGTTGTATTGATGGTAGGAAAGTAGCTCAAACCAACAGTATCTAGTCAGTGCCAACACTTATTTCCATCTGTGCCACTTTGCAGCTGTTACAGTCTCACTAAAGCCCAGGAAAGAGACCTGTCCTAAGGAATGAACACTCGCTTGATTCAGTTAGATTAGCACTTGGTATTTTTCTTACAGCAAATGTGTTAGTAGTGTGTACAGAAATATGTATAAATTCTACTAGCCTCTGAAGCAAAATAGCACTAAAACATTATTCATCAATTGATTTCTATGCTGCGTGTCAGCCTTTCATTAAAACCCAGGATTGGCTGGCGGGAGAGAGAATGGAGAGTTATTGTTTAATGGGAAGTTTGGGAAGATGGAAAGAGTTCTGGAAATGGATGGTAGTGTTGGTTGCTGTTCTGTTCTTCTGTCAGGTGTGGCCATGAGAGGAGACAAGAGAGGCTCAGGAAAATAAAGTTTTTCATACTCACAGGTCCTAGAAACAGCAAGGAACGCACAACACCAAGGGCCACATAGGAAAGTACTAGTGCAGGTCAGGCAGCAGGAGCCTGGGCCAAGGAGTTTCCGAGGGGAGGGCGAGGCAGGGCAGGGTGACCAGCGTAGGGCAGGCTATTGGGATCCTTTCAGCAGGCTCTAAGCTGTAGGACTGGCCCCTAGTTGCCTGGTATCGGGCCCTGGGGAGATTAAGGCAGAGGAATATTGCCTCCTGGGCCATAGGGCCAGATAAGGGGCTTTGGCTTGGTTAATTTGCATGTCAAAGGATAGCTCTCTGGGGGGCCCTTGGCTATCTCTAAGAACTGGGCATCCCTGAAGGGGCAGTCTCTCCCCGGCCAGAAAGGTTTTTAGGATGTCAAAACATCATAATATACAGAAAATAAAAAAGTATGTAAACAAACAGTTGCACAACAATGTGAATGCACTTAGTGACACTGACTTGTACTCTTGAAAATGATAAATTTTGTTATGTATATTTTATAATTAAAACACACACACACACACACACAAAAAAAAACCCAGGGTCCACAAGATCAAAAATGAACTCTAAGCAAAAGACAAGAACCAAAATTTTTTTTAAATGAAGAGGTAGAAGACGACAAAACTTGCATCAAGAACTTCAAGGGCCACTGAAGTATGTGTCTTTTCCAAGTGTGAAAGAAGAAATTATCTTCTGCAAGATATTGGCCAGCTCCTGAAATGCAGATTTTAAGCAATTTTTAAAATTTGCATTGTGGATGAAATGGAAAGGAAACAAATAGTACAGAATTGCTTCACCCTCTAAAACCATTCCTCACTTCTCATTGCTCTGTCATACTCCACAGAGATCAGGAACTGAAAACCTGACTCATCTTCGCTTGTGGAGCTGTGACACTAGCATACTGAGGCCTCCCTACGCTGCCCATCTGGCTCACCTGTTCAGTGCTATCATAGTCTTTGGCGAAACTAGATTATAAACTCGGACTTCTCTGCTACAGAGTGCATGTGGGTGTGTGTGTGTGTGTGGTGACTAATATATCTTAATCTACCAGGTTTATATACAATGGTATCCTGAATTTCTACACTCTTAAAGAGACCATATAAGTTCTGTGTATTTCTCATCCAAAAATAGTTCTGCTGCGAAGAAAATTATTGCCCCATTGCATATCCCCACCTACCTTTCTCTTCTCTCTATAATCAGGGAAATCCTCCATCAATTCTTCTTTTTCCTTACTCATCTGCCAAGTCTTTTCTCCATTCCCTATGCCAACATTCTCTGGCATAAACACCTGTGGCTGCCAAGCCTTCCTGCAATTGTCCTAACATAAGCGACTGGAAGATGACCACTCTCCTCCCTCCCTGCAGTTCGCTTTGTCTATCCATTTGTCAGATGCCTCCAGAGTAAGCAGGAGGGGAAGAAATAAAACATCTCTTCTGGTAAAGCAGGGTGGAGGAAAGAGGGAATAGCTTTCCAACTCGTGGGCTACCGTTGGCAAGAAAGTCCCTGGAGCATTGTAAAGAGCAGTTTTAAATGACTGGGTGTGATTTACATCTGTTTCCCTCTTTTCTGTAAGCAGAGTGAAGCGTTTGATCTTTTTGAGCACATACAGTTCCATTCCTTTTCATCTGACCAGAGAGTTGTGTTGCTCTCTAAACATCTAAGGAATCCGATGAGAGCCGGTGCGTCCTTGCAAACACTGGTCAACATGTGAAGATGGGCCAGCTTCTCGGTGTTTAGGACAGGGCTCTGGAGGCCTTTGCTCTAACACAGGCGACCTGGATGGGGCACATGGTGAGCAGAGCACCAGTGCCAGAGGAGCCGGCGCCTGTGTCCTGACTCCATCACCAAACAGCCCTGGGAACTTGGGCAAGTCACCTGAGTTCTCTGCACCTCAGGGTCCCTATTGGTAAAGTGGAGAGAATAATATTGTGGGACACATATTCTCTGAGCACAGTTTTAAGTAGCTCTTACCTATTATCTCCTCTCATCTTCCCAACTAAGGCATAGGTATTGTGGCCCTTATCACCTATTTTACAGATGTAACTGAGGCACCAAGAGGTTGGCTTTTCACTTCTGGTCCCAAAGCCATCTGTGGAGCCTGGATTCAAACCCAGGCCGTCCGTGGCCAGCACCCTGCTCTGCTGTGTCCCCTCTCGCACTGAACTCTGATCATTAAATCAGATTAAGTGTCCGGAAGTGAATGTAACATGTTGTTATTAACTTTCCTGAAGTTCACTTCCTCATCTGCCAAAAGGAGATAATACTTCTGTTTCAGAGCTTTTGAAAGGAATAAACAGACGGAAGAAGAGAGATCCTGCTGTCCACCTCTCACCACCACCACACAAAAGACGTTTTGCTCTTAAATCTTAAGAAATCGCCTATGGTCTCAGCCTGTCCACTGCTACAGTGTAAAACTAACGTCATTTCCCCTTTTGCTTCTTACAGATTTTTGCGTATATGAATGAAACCTCTTCTCGAAAAGAAAAGTGGGACCTCCAAGCACTTAGGTTTTTATCGATTAATTCAATAATCGACCCTTGGGTCTTTGTCATCCTGAGGCCCCCGGTTCTGAGACTGATGCGCTCGGTCCTGTGCTGCCGGGTTCCATTAAGAACACAAGATACAACAGAAACTTCCTGTTCCTCACGGTCACATGCCAGTAAACAGACTGACCTTTGTGGACAATAGCTAAGAAGTGCTTGGTTAGCCAGCATCTGGAAGATCATTTTGAAATGGTTCCTTGGAGAAATAAAAAAAAAGTAGTTTGTAAACAAAATGAAGCTACCCCCATGAAGCAGAGGAAACCAACATTTCGGCAATGGTTTAGGCTGCAGACGTGCTGACAAGCATTTCCTGGAGGTGCCAGGAGGAGCTAGAAAGTCTCCCCTCGGTGAGCATATTAGTTACATGGCCTTTAGAGGAACAACCAGCTGCATTCAAGAGCGGTTACCTTTGGACTTAAGCTTTCCTGTTGAATGAGAAAGCATGTGGTTTTGTAATTTGTTTAAAACCCGAAATAGTTACTGTGTGTTTTCCATTTTAATCTTTTGTGTAACTACTGTTATAAACATACAGAGTACAGTCAGACCAGATAAAACTTCATATGTGTTCCCTAGGAAGTCGATATGTGGAAGCAACCAAGCCTCGTCCTCTGTGATCGCTTAACCAGCCCTTTCTTTGAACCATGAGCTTGAGAGCTATGGGCACTTTGCGTGGGGGCCGTACTCTCTCGTCACTACAGTATTACTCATAGAAGAGTAGGCTCAGCTGCTTACTGTCTTCTTTCACTAGTCCTCCGGAAGCTGTGTGTCAAAGTGTCAGATTATTTATTTTATGATGTCCATTGTGCTAATAGGAACCAAGAAAACTTTAGGAATTTTCCTCTCAACAAGAAATAACAGGCTATTAAGAGAGCTGATTCTGATTAACACTCTTCATTCTATTTCCAGGGGAGGGTATATGTGGCTATGTCCGAAGCCACATGTTAGGGTTAAAAGCTGAAAAATCTGGCGAATTCTTCAGATACACTGGAACCCTTTTAATGCTGATGTTGAGGCCATGACTAACATCTACTTTATAAGATTATTGTGTTGTAGCAAGATTCATCTGCCCATATTTTTATCCAGAAAGCATGGCTGACTAATACTATATAGGAAAGCCTTTATCAGTGAGTCATAGCTTTATGTATTTCTAAATCTAAATGTTTGGCGTGGTGTCAACTCAGCACCAAAATATTTCAGTGGCTTTGCACTGCTTAATCATACCTTAGTTACTGTGTAAATTCAGCTGAAATGTTACAAAAGTAAACTATAAGAGAAAAATTTGAAAATGAAATAGTATTTGATGAATCCCCCCAAATAACATTTCATAGTTAGAGTAGATATAATATTTTTTCAATGAGATAAAAGTAGGAAAAAATCTAACTTGGAAGGATTTTAAAGTAGGGATGCATTGTAAATTGGAGTTTAAAGTACTCAATATAGTACTTGGTACTAGAGGATTTTTTTTTTTCCTTCCAGCATCATCTTCCAAGTAGTAGAACAACCTTTTTTTTTCCTTTCTGTGAATGTTATTACAAGGTAGCTGTTATAAAAAAACAAAAAGGGATGTTAGTTTTTTCCAAAGTCTCATTGAGTTGCTTACGTAAAACCTTTTCCTATAAGTAGTTATCAAACTAGATGATCACTTAGAATTTTTCCAAACCATTCTAAGCATCAGTGTATTTGACACAATCTATGTCAGATCAGCTCTTATTTTAAAAAGAATAAATAAATGATTTGCTTTTCTACTAATTTAAACAAACCAGGCAAAATTTAACTTAACTAAAATCTGGACATGTAAATAAATCTTCCGTGTCTACCAAGTATTCTAACATTAAGAAATTGTTCTAAATAGAACTAATTAAGCTCATGGGTTTTTCCTAAACATAAAATTATGAGGTTACTTTGAATCTGGAAAATTGATTTTTTTTTTTTTATCAGATGACTTTTTTTCTCCAAATGAAAATGTTAACTACAATCCTTCACCCCACCTCACCACCCCCAAAGCAACCTCGGACATAATGTCACTAGTCGGAACAAAATGATTCCCTCTGGGGGCCCAAAATATAACAGTTTAAGCCATTTATTTAAGGACTGGTAGATTCTAGAGCTTTGTTTCCTAGTTTACTCCTGTCTCTTGCACTGCATTAAATGACTATTTTATTTGCACTGATACATACGTAGAAGGAATTGAAGGTAAAAATCCTATGTAATAGTCAATCACTTACTATGAATGGTCATTTAAAAGTAACAGAAAAACTTACTAGGGCTAGACATAAAAGTGTTTCTTTTTTAAAAAATATCCCATCTCATCAGACAACCTAGAGCGAGACCAAAGCTCTAGAAACAGCACCAACCTCAGATCGCCACGCTGGGAGAGGCTGCAAGCCCTGAGCAGCTGGGGAGGGCAAATCCGAGCCACATCATTACGCTCTCAGTGTAATTCGGTTAAACTTTTGGCCCCCCTGCCTGCTCCTGTCAGTGCACTTTGAAAGAAGGATTGTCCTAATGCTGATATAACATCATTTCTGATTTGAACCAAGAAAAAAACCCAACGTATTCAGGTTTAGAATTTGATGACTTGGAAAGTCTGGCTAAGACAATTAGCTCGCCTTAAGCAGAGGTTTATTTATTTCATTTAGCCAAATGTAGTGGTTTAAGCCAATCTAATGGTTTTCTGAATTTGAGAAGAATCCATACTTGAGCCACTCACAGATAGAGACGTGATTTATGTATGTGGGCGTACGGCGCCTACTCACACAGGTGGTATTACAACTTGAATATTTCATGACTACCTTCTGTCTTCATCAAACACTTAACTCCAATGGAATTCCTCTCCGAGAGCACTTTTATAACATACCTCCAATCACTCACAGCATTATAATTGTTTTTAAATTTGATCACCTGAAATGAAATACACTATGGAAATAAATATTATTTTAGCAATTCCCAAAAGCTATAGTCTAACTTATACATGGGACCAAGGCCATGCATTGGGCATTAATTTTTACTTCAGAAAGTTACTTTTTTGTTCTGGTAGATTGTGTGGTTATTTTTTATTGCAAGTAAATTTTCTTGGATTATATTTTTTTATTTACTGTAAATTGTATGTACTATTAAAGGTCAATTTGAGTGGTTTAATTCTGCAATTCATATGTTTCATTTGTTAAAATCTGCCAAGAGTCAAATATATCAGTGAGGATTCCGCAGAAAGGGATGGCACAATCAAAAGGGTGACTGAGGGCTGCTGAATAAAAGGAATATTTACAGAGGTAGGGTTAAGGGAATCAACAAGGGATGGTGAAGGACCTCTTGCAGCTGTTACCACTCGTAAGCCAGCAGGGACCAGGGGGAAGCAGCTTCTGGACACCATTGAGAGCTGTAGGAGGTCCCACCCAGCAGGAGCTATGGCCTTATGTAGGGAAGCACAGTTAGTGCCAAACCACAGGGAGGGAATGAAGGGACTAACTTTACGGAGGATCTCTCCTCCTGCCCTCTACTCTTCTGCTTATTCCTCCCATTGGCCAAACCCAACTGTAATCTAGGGAGTAAGAGGAATCTGGTTAATGAAGCCCATGAAGTCAGTAGAACAGATGGAGAGTAGACATAGAGGGGCAAATGAAGACTATCCAGCATAAGTCGATGAAAAATATATGTTCTTGTTTAAAAAATACACCAACACAAGAATTGAAACCACAAAGTTGGCAGCCTCTCTTCCTGCCTTTTACTCCAAATAGATATCCAAGCTTGGGGAACAGGAATCTGCTGCACCTGTATAGAAAGGAGTAAAATATTATAGATTCCTTTACCAAAACATTTGTCATGGGCTCTGCTCTCTGAGGCTCAGCATTTACGTGTCTCCTCGCCAGAGGCAGTGAATATGACTGGGAAGAGAAAGGGGACCAGACAGAAGCATCTTTCTGTTTCCATGCGCACGGCCCTACAGCTTACAGCTTCTCCTAAGGAGAGCAAAGGGAGACAGCCATGCAGACCGGTCTGGAAAGGAACTGAAGCCCTATTTTTAAGAAGGACCACTGGAGTGAGAAATATCAAGAAAAAGCTCACTTCACGATGCTGAGGGCATGCCACATCCCCAAATTTAACCTAAGGTGGGGTAGCCTACACAGCTTTATAAAGAAAGTATATATAGCCTGGCCGGGCATGCCTCAGTGGTTGAGCATCGACCTAGGATCCAGGAGATCACTGTTCGATTCCTGGTCAGGGCACATGCCCGGGTTGTGGGCTCGATCTCCAGTGGTGGGGGGTGCAGGAGGCAGCTGATCAATGACTCTCTCATCATTGATGTTTCTATCACTCTCTCCCTCTCTTTTCCTCTCTCTGAAATCAATGAAGATATATTTTTTTTAAAAAAAGAAAGTATATATAGCAATTCTGCAGAGTATAAAATGCTGATAAAAAATCAGGAAAAAGCAAATTTTAACAAAATGGAAAAAGATGGGACAAAGTATGACACCGCAGGCCGTCTGTCCATGTTGCCCTTTCTGCTGCCACTAGCACAGGATTTGCCTTTATTTTTTGTTTCCTCTCGCCCTCCATCCCCTCCTAGAGCATACTTTTCCTAGCACAGACTGTCCCCGTCCTCTCTACCAGTGGGCCCCGGTTCTTCCATGAACACACTCGACCTTTCCCCTTTGGACAAATTCTAGATCTATCAGGGGGTAGTAAAGATTTTTCAAACTGCTGGAAGTTTCTCAGACAAGTTATTTAACCTCTCTGACTCCCAGTTTCCTCATTTATAAAACAACAATAATACAATTAGCCATCTCCTCAATTATTTTGAGGATTAAATGAGTAACTGCATGCAGGACATTCAGCACAGCGTCCGGACGTGGTACGTGCTAAGAAGGTTGGGGATTAGGATTATCTAGATGCCCAGCTCAGGGGCCCCTCTGACCTCCTCACACACATCTTGCTCAGACTGCTCACGCGTGGTGGGGTCGTGGTGCTAGGGGTTACGGGATCTGTGTTAACTCTGGGTAACTGTCAAGAATGACAGTGATCATAAGCACATGGGACAAGTTTGTATTTCAAAAAATGGAGTGAAGACTGGCACGCATGGGACAATGTAGGGGAATGTGTAAGCATGAAAGAGGAGGCCAGGAGACACAGAAGGACAACAGGGCACAAAACATGGCGTCTGTCCCCTCCATGGAGACATGGAAGGGAACGAGAGGGAACAGCGCCTGAAACATTACTCAGACAGGAAACACAGCTCTATCACAAAGCTGAAATCAAGCAGGTTTCATTTATCCACCATCTTCTGAAGAGCCCCAGAATAAGTCCGAGCAACGTGACACAGGTGACCTGAAACCAACACCCAAAACTTCCCTTTTCCAGGCAAAACATTCCTCGTGTCCTTAACTATCCCTTATTGTGACACCTCACCATTTGGGTGCCTTCCTCCAGATCTTATCCAACCTCTCAGTGCCTATCTTACTTTGCTGGGCCAGAACCAAACACCAACAAGTAATTCTAGACTAGTCTTAGCAGTACTGAGTGCTGCTGTGTCAGTTGCTGGCTTGATCCTGACCTTGTACTTCCATTCATGCAACCTGAGATTACAAAGCTTTATTAGCAACTAGGTCATGCCTTTATGATCCTCAACAAATGAAAGAAGCAACAACATTGCACGTTACCTAGAAGAAAACTGAGTATGCGGGGTGAGTGGGTTGCTCACGAAAGACAGACTCACAG